TGCTCTTGTTCAATTACGAATTCATCTGAAGTGTTTCAACCACTTTGAGTGGCCACTGGCAAACATTCGAATATACCTTTGGGCCTTCCTGTTTCGAGGCTATTCTCTTGGACTCCGCGCTAGCCGCGCTAACTATAGTAGACATGGCAGCCGCCACCCCCTGTTCGGCCAACTGAAAAGTGACAACTTGAAACTTGAGAGAATGACTCAAAGAACGCCGTAATAAAAACATGGCCGTAAATCCAAGGCCTAAGGGTAGTGCATGCGAACTCCTTTCAGAAAACTCTAGTGTAACAGCGTTTGCAGAAACGGGAAAAGCAAGGTTTGTAACCGGGGATCTAAAGTTGCAATGGTAACCTACCTAAGTAAATTTCGAAAGGTGCCAGACACAAAAAAAGAAGTTAAGCCATGTTTACTTCAGAAGCAATGGATCATCTTCGCCATCATCAGGGTCATGGTCCATACCCCAGATACCTGACGCTTTCTTTTGTTCAAACCGCCTCCTCCACTCTGTGATAACCTTCCTCTTTCGACGAGGGAGTACTGGAGATGGCGGCGCAGCCACAACCCACTCTTCGTCAATCCAATTATCCTTTAGTAGAAGCTCGTCCTCTTGTCCTTCATTGGTGGTCATCAACACATCGACTACTTCCTGGCGCCGACAAGGCGATGTCTAGGTCCGCGCCACCCTCAACAATCATTTCCACTATGGACTTTATACTCTTTCTAATCACTCGACCCCGCGTCCGATACCTTCAAAATCTATCCTACCAGACCTTTTGAATCCTTTTATCATGCTCGTCTTTTTGCCAACCATGACCGTATTATCTAACTCATCGGCGCTCACAACCCGAATCTATATTCCATACCACACACAACACCTTCCGCATTGTATCCCTGCAACCGGCATATTCACATGTTTTTCCTGCTTTCCTGTCACAACCCACTTTTTATTTGCCCGCTACTCATTTGTACAGGTTATTTCTCAAGCACTTAACTCGGTTGTCTGTCTTATAGTAGCCTCCTTGCAGCACTATTTGTCTGTCATTCTGTAGTTGTTCAAACTGAAGCTGTATAAAGTCAATCAGTAATTAGAAATGTGGATTCCATCATAAACTTTAATTAGTTATGTAAATGTGATTGACGTGTAAATAGAGACGGGAAGGTCGATTGCAAGTACTTACTACTACTAGTCTGAACCACAAGACTCGAGTAGCTCATGATCACTACAAGTCCAAGTCGCTCATGAATTTTATCTGAATTTTGTCTCCACGTTCACTCCTTCAATTGGAAGATAGTGGGCTGATCTCGAATCTATTTTTCACACAGAGCTCCCAGCCATGAAATACAAAGGCAAAACAGGAGTAACAAACAATGGATGCTAATAAGCGAATCACAATACAGCGAGGTCCAGTGGCAGGGAGCAGGGGTATCAGAAAGCCGACCAAGGTAGCGACGGTTCTTAATAACTTGCTTGACTTGGCGCTCTCGGTTGCTACAGCTGTCGAGGTCTTAGTGGCCCCAGCTGCGGCGGTGTCAGCTGCAGTAGGATTCAAGTTGGCAGCCGACGCACCAACAAGGGCCTGATCATCAGCAGTCGCAGATAACTAAAATTTAACGAGTTGGAACCTAATCGTAAGTGACAAAAATAGAAGTGGCTTACGTAGATGCAGCCGTCCAGGGAACCGCGGTGAGCCCGGGGACGATGACTGGCTGATGGTTTGCACAGGTGTGAATGGTGTGAATGGAGCAGTCTGTAAACACCGACGGGAAGACTGGAGCTCGAGGTAACGTTAGGGGCAAGAACACCATTGACAGCAGCATCGTTCAAGCCCTGTACATTCTGATGAGATTTTTTACGCAGAATAGAGGTAATGAATGGGGAACATACCTTGAAGAAGGCGAACTGCTGGGTCAGTCAGGTGGTCTGGTCAAATACTAGTGAGTCTCCACGACGACGCGTGAGTGTCCTATAATTTGACACTGAGCATTGAAACTGCTTGAAAGCAGTAAAGTAGTTGGTTCTTAACACCCATGCTGATCGTGAACACGCTTCACCAGCAATGACAGTCCCATTCTTGCGGAACTTGGCAGACGACAAGTTGGCAATGGAAGGAATGGTGCCAATGGAAGCTGGATTGCATGACGCAAAGTGATTATTTGCTTACCGTGTGTGATGAGAAGAGTAGAGCAGAAGTTGACTAACCTTGACCTAGATGGCACGGTGTTCCAACAGCTCGAACGACTCGCACAATGACCTGCGAACATCCTGGTCGTCATCAAGGAAACCTGGTGCAATAACTCAAGAATTCAACGCTGCAAAGAAGATTAATGTAAGTAGCAAATACTCCCAAGGCGTGACACGGTGAAGGAGTGAGACTCGGAATCATTCAGAGTGACAAATTGTCAACACAACAAGAATGAATTTTACAACGTTGAAAGATGCGGCCCAGCTATTGGGAGCAAAATAGCACTCCATATGTTACAGCGTTAAGGATCTCTTATGGACACGAGGTCAATACAGTAGCTCCCAGAGTTGGAATCGTGTTGACATAACATAAGTGCCATACAAAGGGTTTTTCAATGCAGTGGGAATGAAGATGCGACAATGATGTACGGCGGTACCTTCACCGGTTCTACAATTCGCAATGACGTGGTTTAGAATAGGAAGGTATTTGAAGTCAACATACTCACCTTGGTGAAACCGATGGCGGACGCCTTCTCACGGAAGCATTGACGGCAGAGATCAAGGCCGTATTTGCGAACAAGACCCGCCTGGTGAGCGCAGAGCCGGCTATAATTTAGAAACGAAACAGCTCTGGTTAGGACATGTTTCACGCAAGGATAAGTCATTCACCATTGGCGGCTACCCTTTCCGAACTTTCTGGGGCGAGAAAACCAAACAGCGTCGTGAGTCATTTGTGAGGGAGAATTTCTTGAGAAGCCCGGTGGTCAACAGATGTGTGTGCAAGAAATTGACACTTACAGCGTTGGCTACGGCGATTTTTGGCGCGGCACAATTCTTTGTCAGTGAGATTGAACGTATGCCGCTTATGTAAACTGTATAGCACTCAAATTAGAGTTTGATCTCCGATTCATTTGCAGAAAAGGCAAGTATCATTTCCAGTAAGGAAGGAGAAAAGAGATTATGGTGCATGTGTCAATTCAGGGAGAAAAAATGCAAAGAGCACTGCAGAAAACCATTAAATAATAACAATAATCATAGCCCACCGCGAGGGTCGAACTCGCAGCCTTCAGATAATACGGAACATGAATCCCACCTAAGAGTCTGACGCTCTATCCGATTGAGCTAGGCGGGCAATGTCGTGAGGGTTACAAATAAATACCTTTCGGTGCCCATCACACATCACGAAAACCCCTTCAGAAGTCACCAGGCCGGATGCTCCGCGCCAGAAATTTCTTTATATGGGAGGCGTGACATTTTCTCCAGCGAACACACCTCAGGCTTGCATCCACGCGTCACCCTGCGAACACTTGATCGTAATATGTACTACAGTAATGGATCGTGGCGCAGCCTGAGCTCGCTGACATCCACTAGTCCTGATCGAAGTCCTACTTGCATATAAAAATTGACAGAGAAAATTTTGCAGAACATTCAGGTTCCGGGGGTTTGGGAAGGTGATATAACTTCCTGAAAATTGTGGGCCGTCCGCTCATTCCTGTCTGTACAGCACGACTATCGCATGATGTCTTTCGATTTCAGAGTGATATTTCATATTCTTAATTGACCTCTGCTTGCTCGCTTAATTGGTGGTGGTATGTGGAGACCAATGGTGTTGAAGACTCGAACCCAATCTCGCTATAGGTCCCATCTTCTCTATGGAAGATAGTGAACATAAATTCCAAGTATGTTTAATTTCTGAGCGATTAAGAAACAGCATCTCAACATCAATACACAGCGTCACTTTTAGGCCCGCCTTCGCTCGCCAATCCGTAAAGTCAGTGGTTCCCATTTTTCTTCGGAAAGCTCAACAGTTGTGTGATCGATGGGACGCCCTCATTCCAGATCCCTTCTCCATCAACAATTCCTATCAATCAGAACCTCCACCTGCCTACGCTCCTGTTGCGACTACCGTCGAAGAGGTGCAGGGCATAGCGATCAATGTGTTGCTCGGCGGCTGTATCGCGCCTCCTTCAATGTGATTGGCTCGGCCGGTTTTGATTACAATTTCAGAGCACTGGATGACGAATCAGAAGAAGTGTATATGGTGTATCGACAGACGTTCGATGTGGCTGATAAAGGCCCTCACCTTAGAGGCATTTTGGAACTGTACTTTCCCGTCGTCAGAATGCTCTGGGTAAGTCCAGACATTGATACACCCTTTAGCGGACGAGCTCTCCCTGATATTGATATGATCTAGCCCGACTGCGGGACTAAGGTTACGAAGAAAGTTTGCGTATCATCAACAAGGCAGGGGAGAAGTTGGTCTCCACCACAATAGTCCTACAAAATAGTGCATTCTCGAAAATCTGAAACAACTCTGTGCTTGCCCTAGACAAACAGATAAGATATCATCTCAATATCATGTGCCACCATAATGAGCTTCCCGCCCTCGACCCCCTGTGGACGCTGCACCGTTTTACAGTTCAGTCCGATGGGATAATGCACTTCTCCAGCAAGGTCTGCCCAATCAAAATCAATTAGATGAAGCTGCACGTCATCGGTCTCAAGGGAGGCAGGATCAATGAGGAGGTTAACAGCTCGTATATCTCCATGCACAAATCCATTTTGATGGAGTTTGTGGACAATGCTTTTCACCTTGTCTTTCACCTTTTCCTGCAGTTTTGTTGATAATTGACAACGATGGAGGATTTTGTATTTTGACCGATCCATGATGACCGCTTTCCACCCCCCAGGATCTCAATGATTTCCCGTAACTTCGGTGCCATTCCGTGCATAGCAAGGAAACTATGTGCGTCGGCGGAATACTCGTGTTGTGTAAATTTGACGATACAGTCTCCGAGATCAAGTTGGTTGGGAGTGGCAGCGAAGACCAACTTGCCTTCGAGTTGTTCAGTATAAACCAGGCTGACTTCTCGTGCATTGTCAAGACGATATGATGTTAGGTATGGGTATCGAGGAATTTCTTCAAGGTCACATGGCTCTGCAGAAGTGATTGTAGCTTTGAGAAGTGCGTAATGCTCCTTGATGAGACGGACTGCTTCCACTAGGGCATCCAGAGTAGCTGCCACTTCGTATCGTGCGTGTAGTTCCTTCCAGTTGGCGATCAGGTCAATGCCTCGGCAGAGGGGCTCAACTCTGACACGCTGTCCATCCCAAATAGCGCCATAGAAACCTAGTGTCGACCCTGTTTATCCCATGAGAAAGTGTGTACTGATGAAGGTACGGACATATTGACCTGAATTGACGACAAGGACGGAGGGGAAACACGTATTTCGATTACAGAAGAGGCGACGGTCTTTCAGTGCACGACTGAGAAAGTTGACATAATATAATGTCGCTTGGTTCATAGCAAATCCCTCTTCATTATTGCACTCTCGCACCGCTGCCGGTATGATGACGATGAGGTGGTCATCCGTTATGTACTCCGTGTTCCCTATCTTCTCTGCATGGAACTGTAGACCCAGGCACTCGGAGAAGATCCTCGTGATGGCCTCCCTCCGAAGGGCTTCCACTTGGTACCACTCACATCCAGCTACTGAGAGTTCAAGAAGGCAATCCATGGCCTTGTTTGAAGGGGGTTGTTTGCATCGATCCCTGAAGGTCCCGAAGGTGCGGTCGAATAATGCGATGGGGATGATACTGGTCTCATAGGGCCGGTTGACGGTGATCACTTGACCCTCGCCTACAACCTTTTTAAATTTGGCAGGTTGAGCCAGAGATGACGGCGCGATGTCGGATACCGTTCGCAAGCGTTTTACGACCATTGGAGTGTCGTTTCTTCCCTCACGTCTACGTTTTTTCTGAAAGTCTATGTGAGGCATCGATGTGAGGGGCCATGTATGGATAAAAGAATTGATACATTACTTACCTGTGGAACTTGCACGATAAGCTGGAGAAACCGTTTATTAGGAGCTGTTTTCCAGTACTCAGAAACATCCGCAACCTCGTCGAGGCGCTTGACATTATCATTAGTTGCGTCCAACGAAAGGCCGGTGATAATCTCTTGTAATTGATCGCGCGTGACTCTAATATCCTTAGTGGGCTTCCAGAGGTCTAGCGAGATCGAATCGTATGGAATAGTTCGTGGATTCTGGGACTGAATTTTTTGCTTTAGCGTACTAATCTCGGTGTTGGACCAGACTTCGACGAGGAAAGGGGTTGTCCGGAAGAGGAGTTCGCCTTTTTCATCCACAAGGACGCAAAGCAGTTTCCACTGACGAGGAGTCGGAGGGGGATCCATGAGCTGTTTCAGCGAAACAAATGACTTGAACTTCAAGCTTCAAAGCTCTTACAAACACGTGATTCCAGAAATACTAGTCCTTTTCTCCGCCATCCGTCTCTTGTAATTCGAAAGCTCAGTAAGGGCTGCTCCTGTTCCCCATGGTCACGGAGGCCCATCTATATGGCAAAAGTGTATTGGTCAATCGATAACGGTCGTCCACCCACGCCCCCATGAGTTTGAACTTTCCATGGTTGCAGGCTGGAGCTGTTCCTCGGGATTGAAAACGTCCTGCTCCTCTCAGTTCTAGGTCTGCGCCTGGTCCAATGTCTGTCC